GAAATATATTTTGGGTCACTGGAAATTGGACCTAATGTCAGAACCATCAGCAATCAAAATATTAATATAGTAGTTGCTTGCTTTGTTTCTGCCATTCTTTAGGAGGGGAGAGGGGGAAGTGAAGGTAGAGGGAATTAGGACACTATCAAAGGCCAGGAAGATGGACTATTACCAGAGGTTAGGAATGTGCAAGGTCGCACCTCTGTGAGAACCACATTTGGCGCCTGGAAAGAGGGGGGGTGAGAAGTGAGGGTAAAAGTTAAGTGCGAAAAGCACGGGCTTTAGTTTTAGCAATGCTTTGCTTAGAGTTGCATGTACGTTCCAATAAATGAAATCTTTTTTTAACCTAACTTGGGTTGCACGAGATTTTTCTTCATTGGGATTTGAGCACTGCAGACCTGACACTTGACAGGAAAGGGTTACCTCCACCTAACTAGTTAAGAAGGCAAGGCTTAAAACTTCCTCCTGTCTCTTGAAGGAATTAGTCTATTCAGTCACACGTTCTGACTTCAGTGAGAGTGGTTCAAGACCTTTATTGTACATTCTACTGTTAATAATAAAACTAGCAACTAGTACAATACGTGCACAATGGTTAGCATAATGCAGTAACGTAACTTAGGTGTCAATCCTTGGGCTACTTCATTTCTTTCTTAATTAGGATGGGACTCCCGAGTCCCCCTTCTGGTATCCAGAAATGTAGTTCACATTAAGCTAAATTTCTATTCTGTCACTGGAAATGGATCCAACGCAAAAGGAATATTACAGCAGCAGTATTCCCAGGATGGGCCAATGTCATAGTTTACAGCGCTTGCTGTAACTCAGTACAGATAAGTCCACCCCCAAGGCAGTAAACTTACCTATTTCATAATAATTTATAAAGGCTTTGCCCCAAGGAGCTGCCTTCAAATACCTATGAACAGTAACCACTGCCATTATGGCTGTTGACAAAGCCTCTGCATTTATAAGGTCTGCAGTCAGGAGGAAGGGAGGGCTGCTCATCCTGGCTATGCATGCCAGGTAATGTATTCTCCAACCCTCTGCTAAATGTGAAGCAGCAAAAATAATCTCCTCTGATTTTTTGCCTTGTAGGAGACAAACAACTGACCCATTATCCCTTTAATGTATTTTCAGGGTATACTCTCAGAGCCCCTATTCCAACCCTAGCTTGAGCCAGATGTATTCATTAGAGAAAATTAGGCTTGGACAGAAGTTGGGAAGCACACTCTTTTGTGCTAGAAGAAATTTGGATCTGGCCTGGGTTTAAAGGTGGGAGGGGGGCGGGAATCTGGCCTCAGAACCACTTCATCCAGGTGGAGCACATACAGATCCCCATTAGAAGGCACCCCTCAGTGCATTGTTGAACCTTGAGACAGGATGTCGAGGCATTTGTGATGAACATTTTATGTTTCTGTATCTTCTTATTCTGTGTTTTATTCCTGCTACTCTAGCTTTAAGAAGGAAAGCCACTTCTCCTTTCCCCTTGTTTTAGTCATGGCCATGTTGGGCATGTTAGAAAAGGATAAATCTACCTCCGTATTTTCTTCCTGCTTGTTCCTCTACCCTTAAATTTCCCTGTTTTTCCACTGTTATTCCAAGGCATCCTCAGCATTACTGGAGCTTTCCCCTACCATCCCCTTTAGCAGACCACAAGTATATGTGGTTTAAAATTCTTCCTGTTTATACTCAAGATTTTTGTTTAGTGCCTATACAGTTGGCCTCACTTAACAACCACAAGTGGGACCAGCAACTCCACTGCTAAGTGATGTGGTCGTTAAGCAAAACATCACATGACTCTGCTGGACTTACATCAGTTCTGCTGCAGTTGTTAAGCAAATGATTTGTGGTGCAACATCATGTGACCGCGACTTGTGACTTACTGCCAGCTTCTCCATTTACTTTGTTGTTGGAATCCAGCTGAGAAGCTCGCAAATGGCGATTATATGATTGTGGGACAATGTAACCATCGTAAGTACATGCCAGTTGCCAAGTACCCAAATTTTGATCACATGACCGCGGGGACATTGCGACCATCATAAGTTCAAGGACTGGCCATAAAGCTACTTTTTTAACACCATCATAAATAGGGCAGCCATTAACCAAGGGCTACTTATAACTGGTATTGTGAGTCATTGTGTCTAGCCCAGTCCCTGATTGCTGTTATTAGCTCAGTCTCTTAAACTGATCACTAAAGCTCATCAGGAGGTTCCCTCTGCCACTGTTTCTATGATTTTCTCTTTTTTGTTTGTTTGTTTTGCCCTGGTGATTTTAAAAGAACATATATTAACATCTGCAGGGTTCTGATCTCACTCAAATCCATGAAAGCAATCACACAAATTAGAGCTTTTCACTATTTAAGATGCTCACCTCCTCCTTGCCTCTGTAAAGTGACATGCAGATAGCTGAATACCAAGACTTACCTTAACTGGCTCTATCTTTCCTGGAGAGACAACTTTAGCAGGCACCAGAACTTGGAGGGGTACAGATTTCAGAGAAGAACATAATCCTAGTGTGTTACAAATATCCTGTGGTTGCTGGAGACATAAAGCAGCAACACAAGTTACTTCTACAATCTGCAAGATGGCAGATTAGTTTTAATATCACTATGATTTCATGAATGTAAAAGTAGCCCCAAATGCCATGGGATAGCATTATTTGTACATGAAATGAAAAATGCATTTCGTTTCAAGCCCAAAACAGTGTTTCTGAAGTTCTGCCAAACTGTTCCAGACAGACTGGTTCAGCAGAACCAAAAGACAGAATGCTTCGGTTGTTCCAGGCTTCAACCAAAACCAAAACCAAATCCATACTGGTCTTACAAAATTGACTCATTTTGCCCCTTTCTCTCCTCCTACAGGCAGCCAGAAAACTGCCCCCCCCCCCAACCAGTGCCTTCCCTTCACTTCCCTGCCTCTTCCACCAATGACTGGATTTTTCTTGCTTTCTACCTCCCTGAAACACTTCTCCCTGGAACACGTATGTTTTGGTTTATGTCCAAAACAAAAACACACGCTATTGTCTGGAGATGGACCACCTGAAACTAGCTGTCACTCTCCAAAAAACAGTTCACACACAGCTTGCTTTGTATATCTTTGGATGTAATGTATGCTCTCAGGTTGAATTTTATTCACTTTTGACACTTTTACTCCATACCAGAACAAAATGTTTTAAAGTTTAATCAAAGGACTTATTTCAGCAACTTGCATGTATCCACAAATGATTTTTCTTATAAAGCTAGATACTTTAGAACAGAAGTATAAATTATGTCCTTTTCCTGATATGTCTCATAACTGTCCTTTGATGCAGTATTTAAAAAATTGGCACTTTGATGAAATATGAGCTTTCTACAAGATACAGTCAGGTCCAGAAATATTGGGACATTGACACAATTCTAACATCTTTGGCTCTATACACCACCACAAT